TGAGACAGAGTCTTGCTCTGTTGCCCACACTAGAGTGCAATGGGGCAATCTTGCAATCTTGGCTCACTGCAGCCTCTGCCTCCTTAGTTCCCAGGTTCCAGCAATTCTCCTGCCTCAGCCTCCTAGGTAGCTGGGATTACAGGTGCACACCACCATGCCTGGCTAATTTTTCTATTTTTTAGTAGAGATGGGGTTTCACCATGTTGGTCAGGCTGGTCTCAAAACCCTGACCACAAGTGAACTGCCTACCTTGGCCTCCCAAAGTGCTGAGATCGCAGGTGTGAGCCACCATGCCCAGCGGAAAATAGCCTTTTTAACTCCAGTTTTACAGCTAGCAAACAGGCTCACAAAGATCACGTGGCTTGTTTGAGATAACCAAACTAGGATGTAGTATAGCAGGTCACCAGACTCCATGCCCCTCCTAGCCCCCATTCTCCAGAGTTTTTCTTTAAAGCTTACATTCTGCCCTCTGTGTGCGTGTGCACGCACGTGCACACACACACACACACACACACCCCTACCTGGAGATGACCATGGGAAGGAGAAACAGCCTCATGACTTTCTACATCCAGGCCCACTGCTCAATGTCCTTCAGAGCCTACCACCTGGCTTCTTATAGGGCTCAGATCTGGGCACACCAGTCTTATTTAGGCTGCTTGTAACAGTGCTATAGGAGAGAGGGAGCTGGCAGTAACCAGGCCAAGCCAGGCAGAAGGAATTGTGCAGGAGAGGCTTTAAGTGGGCAGGTGGGTCTCCCTGGCTAGAATTCATACCCTCCCAGAAATCTCAGTCTTCCTCCATCCTGTCCCCACCATTCCACCCTTGGGAGTGGGGGGCTGCACCAGGTCAATTCACATCCTATAGACTGCTAGTCAGAGCTCCTTTGGAGACCTAAGTTACTTGAGAAATCTGACAGTCGCCCCCTGAGGCTGGCTGAGGAGGAGGCACAGACTGTGTGGCAGGGCTAGGACTAGGGTGAGGCAGGTGAGGTGCCATATTTAAGGATGGCATCTGCTCTCAGCACTGTGTGTGATCTCTTAGGTTTTATGTCTTGGGCATCTCACTGGCCTTACCCTAGTCCCAGCTCTGCTGTGTGGTCTGGGAAGTAGAATCAAGGCCAGTGAACTGCTGAGAGGGAACAGGGAGGCTGATTTCAGCTCATCCTTGAGAATGACTTTCTGAAGCATCAAAGTGGGAACAATGGAATGAGCTTCCCCCAACACATGGAGTATGCAAGCAGGGCTCAGCGCCTGCTAAGAAGAATAATAATCACCATATTATTGTCACCACCAACACTGTCACCATTGACCATCACTTTGTGTCAAGCAAAAGCTTTAGTCAATGTTGTTTCATTTAATGTATATAAATGTATTTTAGCTGAAGATGGGCTATCAGAGTCTCTGACCTTTGGCGTCCTTTCCAGCTCCAAGAGTCCATTGTTGCATAAGACAAAGAGCACTTCTGTTGATTTTGGTTGGTTCAATGCATTGTTGTATTTGTGGATTTACAGTCTTATGCTAATGGATAAGCTCCTAGAGGGCAGAGACTGTGTCTAATCTCATTTTTTTAAATGATTCCCTCTCCTGCTCCATGCTGACCAGAGGCCTGGGCACATAGAATAGAAGGCGTTCAATAAATGTGTATCAAACACACACATGAGTAAACCAATGTCTAAAAGCTGTCGGCTTACCTGGCCATTTGCTTTCCAGGCTGTGACTGACAGAGCCACTAGGGGAGCCAGAACCACCTCTGTAGTCATCCCCCTTTCTATGGCTGAGCTGAGTTCAAGTAGGCGTGTCTAGAGCCTCCCCTGACATCATGTGCCTAGCCTTTGCTAGTTTGTGGTTAAGACAAGGACCAGCCCAGGTTCTTCGCAGAAGGATCTCAAGACTCATCCTGGACAAAACTCATGAGAAAGCATTCAGATGGTGAGGGAAGCCTCTGGAAATCAGAGCAGGGAAGGGCCCTGCAGCCAATGAAGCCTGTCTGGCAGAGCTAAGACTACAGCTAGTCCTTGCAATGTGAGAAGAATTGAGTGGCTGAAGGGAGGAAATTGGCCATCCTAGCTGGGTGCGGTGACTTACCTGTAATCCTAGCACTTTGGGAGGCCAAGGTTTACTTAAGGCCAGGAGTTCGAGACCGGTCTGGCCAAAATGGTGAAACCCCGTCTCCTCTAAAAATACAATTAGCCATATGTGATGGCACATGCCTGTAATCCCAGCTACTTGGGAGGCTGAGGCAGGAGAATCACTTGAACCTGGGAGGCAGAGGTTGCAGTGAGCTGAGACTGCACTACTGCACTCCAGCCTGGGTGATAGAGTGGGACTCCATCAAAAAAGAAATAGACCATTCTAGGTTGGAGTGATGGGGAGCAAGAGCACAGGGACAGAGGCAGGAATGCCCACAATCATTTTGGGGAAAAGGCAGCCTAGCCTGGCTAGAGTACCAGAGGAAGACAAGTGGAAAAGACATTTGTGGAATGCCTTGAATGTCCAGGCCCCGAGCCAGAGAACAGAAAATAGGGTTCGGAAATCAGAATCCATATTCTAGAACCCAGAAACCAGAGCCTAGAACTCAGGAAGCAAGAGCAAAGTTCAGGACCCCATCTTGTGTAGGGCTGTCCATTAGCTGCATAAAAGGATGCCTTGGGGACTCCAAACTCAAGGTGCATGATCTTAGTGGGAAACAAAGTGGATTTTTCTAATCGGCTTAGTCCAGGAAACCAAAGGCCTGACTCAAGCACAGGACCAACTTGGGTCTACCTGAGACTTGCCCCCCAGGACTGGCATGAGCAGCTGTCTTGGGTCCCTCCAAATCACAGCCTGAAGTCTGGCATTATCTGCAGCCCAGCAGGCACCCTGAGCTGGGGCAGGTGTCGCCACCAATATATACCTTCACACCCTTCAATCCTCCCTTCTGTTCTCTAATACAGGTGGGATCTGAGATTTTAGGCTAGACGCAGCTGGGGCAGGCCACTGGAGGGTGGAGCCGTGGTGCCTGCAGCAGTGCCAAATGAGCCAGCGTGTAGACGTTGCTGTGCCGGCCTGTCGCGGGGCGCAAGCCTGCCAAGGAGCCAGAGTGCGGTGCCGCGTGGAGGGTGTCAGGGGTGGTATTGTCAGCACACAAATGCTCAACTTTATGTACTTTTAACTAGAGGTGTAACAGATGGCCCCGTTTCTGTCCAAGCCAGGGAGACTGGTGCCCATTCCGGCTGCAGCCAATCAATCCCGCCACTCTGGGGGGAGCTACAAGCTGGGCTGGGAGGCCTGGAGCCAGCAATTGCGCAAGGCTGTCTGCTCAGGCTGGCCCAGCGCAGCCTCCGCCAGCCGCTCAGCCATAGGCCTGGGGAGGTAGGAGGGCAGGCAAGTGGCAGCCATGCCTGGAGCCTGGTCAGAGGCCTGCCTGGGAGGGAGAGCCTGGAACCACTCACCAGGCCCCACATGGCCAGTGAGGACAATCAAGGTGCCAACCCATCCCACTGTGTCCTCATTCTCCTGTGGTCCTTGCTCAGGACCTAACTACCAGATCTCTAGCTTCAAGAAGCTTTGGGTCTATAGCTGTGTAGTGTCTTGTGTTAGGGACAGCAGACATTCTCAGGACTGGGGGTGAGTAGTGGTGCCATTGGGAGAAATAGTCACAGTACTGTGAAAGGCTTCAAGAAGTGCCCAAAACAGCCAGAGAAGAAGAGAAAACAACAGGAGCCAGGGATCCCAGAGCTGGGAGAAACTGTGAATTAATCTAGTCTTACATTCATATAGTCAGTCAACAAACACTTAGTGAAAGCCTACTGTGAGCTAAGTCCTTTATTAAGCACTGAGGACATAATGATGAATAAGACATAATTCCTGTCCTTGAGACCTTTTTTGGGGGAAGACAGGCAAATACACTGGTAATTGGAGCAATGAACTAGGGCTCATAAAATCTCCAAAAAGGCTGTGGAAGCACAGAACAAGAGCATTTAACTGCCTGAGAGATCCAGGGAAGATTCCAGTAGGGGGCTGGGTCTGAGCTGGGTCTGAAAAGATAGGTAGGAGTTTTCGTGGGAGGTGGGGGTGGAGGAGGGCATCAGAGCAGGAAGGGATGGCATGAGCAAAGACATGGTAAGAAAACATGGTGAAGGTAAGGGTCTGAAAAGATGTATGTGGAACTGGGGTCTAGGAGTTGGGAGAAGGAGTGGAGGGGATGAGGCTGGGCAGTGGAAGGGGCAGGTGTCTTCCCTCAGTTGTCCCTTCTGTCACCTT